GGGCCGTAATATTTTAGTATGATCTAGAAGACTATAGTATCTATCGTCAAAAAAATAATAATGAAAATCGTCGAAAAAATATTTTTTAACACTTTATTACATGAAAACGGCCCGGCCGATCTTTACCAAAAACTAATCAGCACGATTCCCAATCAATATCTTTCGAACGATTTTTGAATTTTCATAATCGGTTCAGAATTGCGGGCTAAAACGTGGACGAAATTTTTTACACTTTTCTGCTATTTATAAAGAAACGTCTCGGCCGATCGTCCCACAAAACTGACAAACGATAGTCCTCGTCGAGATACATCGAATGGCTTTCAAATTTTTGAATTCGACCCAGTCGTTTTCGAGAAAACGTCGATTTACGGCAAAAAATCTGTTCACACACACGCGCACACATACTTTTTCCAAATTTGGTCTCATTCGATTCAGAATGGCTTGAAATGTCGAGAAAACATAAAGTTAGCGAATTGGATTTTTTGATGAAAACAAACTTCTCCTTCGGGAAGTTAAAAAAAAGTGTATCATTTTTTGCTGGGTGAACTCATTAATGAGGTCGATTTTAAAATAGTTATATAGTAGATAGATTGGGAAAAATGAAACTTCCTAATGCAGAAATGGAAATGAGAAAGAATTCATTTCATTTTCAATCGACTCTCTTGCACCAATTCTTAAGAGACATTACGCACGTTTGTATTTAAATCCAGTTCCGGAATTTCGTGCAATTTCTATTCCATTCCAGCGACAAATTTCAATTATCTGCTCCTATCTGCTGCATTATCATAAGTGTTTCCGAACATGCATACACACATACACCAAAAAGTAAATTGCTCTTACACGCGCAGAGATTACGCTTAAAAATACATAGAATTTGGGAAAACTAAAAATGTTATATTTCGGAAACCAACAAAGATAATTTGGTAATTCAAAAAGTCGATCATATAACACTTCGTTCGAGCCATCGAACTGTGATATTTTAATCATTGGATTTTGACTCGTTTATGAAGCACTTTTTCAAAATTTTAGCATTATATTTTGTACTAAATTTTTAAAATAGTTACCATCGGACTAGCGAACTAGAATTTAGTTATGCTATACTTCAGCATCTTTACTAAGATAGCAAATACTAAAATCGATAGGTTATTTAAAATAAATTCAAACTAATTACATAAATCTCTACACAGTACACTATCAAATATCAAACAAAGCATGCGTTTGTATACATCATTTTCAACTATTTTTTAAAAATAGTTGTAAATGAGCTAGAAAGTTACAATTTGGCTATGTTTTACTTTAGCATGTCTACTAAGTCAGCAAATACAAAATTTATTAAGTTATTTAACAAAAAATGGAAATAACTTAATCATTATTTATAAGAACTTATTCAATAAGTAAATAGTTAAAATTATATAATTGTCAATAAAATATTGTGAATTTTATATCGAATGGAAAAAACAACTACTGAGTTGTATACAATATCCCTTTTTGGCCGACTATTGTAAATTCATCAAATTTATTGAATGTCCTTTACTGGACAGTTGTAAATAAAAGAAATAATAATAAAAAAAAATTAACAAAAAAATTCAAGATAATTACATAAATCTCTACACAGTACACTATCAAATATCAAACAAAGCAATGCGTTTTTATATAATATTTTCAACATTTGTTTTTAAATTGTTGCAAACGAGCTGCAAGGTTATATTTTGTGTATGTTATATCTAAGTATAACTACAAATACAACAAATCTTAAAATCAATAGGTCATCTGAAAAAAATTCGAGCTAATTACATATATCTCTACACAGTACACCATCGAATATCAAACAAAGTATGCGTTTTTGTATGATAATTTTAACTGTTTTTCAAAAATTGTTGCAAATGAGCTAAAAAGTTATAATTTGGCTATGTTGTATTCTAGCATGTCTACAAAAACAACAAGTACTAAAATCGATAGGTCATCTAGAAAAAATCAAACTAATTACATAAATCTTTACCCAGCACACTATCAAATATCTAGCAAAGCATTTGAACAGCATTTTCAACTAATTTTTAAAAATTGATATAAAGTAGCTAGAAAGCTATAATTTGTGTACGTTATACTTTAGTATGTCTTCTAAGACAACAAATACTGAAATTGATAGAAACTGTTAAATAAAATATTTTGATCAACATGTTATCTATAAGAACGCAAAATTATATTACATATTCAGGAAAAAAGATAAAAACATGAATCGAGAGTATGCCTGTTTGATGGATCGTGAAAAATGTTATAAGAACAACTTTTTGAATTATCAAAATATCTAAAGGGATTCTCGAAATATTACAAATAAATATTTATAAAATTCGTCACGTAATAATCACGTGTGTAGTTAAATCCATACGCCCACGTCATAGGCATGCAATCAAGATTTATAAAATTTGTCAAAACTGAAAATGCAATATTTTGGGAACCGTTGGCGATAATTTGGTAATTCAAAAAGTCGATCATGTAACATTTTTCATCAGCCGTCGATCTGTGGTACTTGATATTCGATATTTTAACTCTTGCACTAAGAAAAGAAATACAATATTCTTAAACTACTCAGCAAGTTGAAACCATTTACAGCAATTTTAAATAACTCACAGCGATTTTAAACGATCTACAGCATTTTTAGACCATTTACCAAATATATGTTTGAATATTGAACATTTTTTTACCAGCAGTTCATTTGTAGGGTCACCTGCAATCAAATACAGAATGACGACAGTAGAAGGGTAGTTCTAATTGTGAGCTTACACAAAAATAATTTAATAATTTAAACCTTTCGCACAAACATGGTCCTTTTCATTTTGCGACAACAAGAACTTTGCTTAAATAAACACTACCGAGTCCGGGGAGAGGAAAATGTGTTCCGGAAAACTAAAATGCATCCCTCCGGAGAAAACGAATCAACAAAATAGCAGCAGAATGGAATGAAATGGTTCTGCATTAAAATAAAACCGAGAATTAAGAGTAAACATAACAAGATTAAAAAGCATAATTCATTGTAATTAAATGAAATACAATAGAACGATACAATGAAAAGCATCCCTTTGCTTTTGTACGAACAAACGAACGAACGAACGAAGTAAAGTAAAGTAAAAACAACAACAGTATAATAAAGAAAACAATATTAAATTTCATTCTGTAATTCTATACAGTTTTGTAAGTTTTAATAGCAACGAGCGAAATGCAATCAAGACGTGACTAAACTGAAATCCAAAAGCGCCAGAGGAACTTACTTTTTTGTCTTAGTCTTTGGGTGTGTGTGTGGATGTTGGGGGGTGTATACTTATGATAATGCAGCAGATAGGAGATAATTGGAACGAGAACTCTTATAGATAAATTAGTGATATAAAAGGTCGATTTTCAAACATTTTGCTTTCACCATAATTTGAACATTTTTAGTGCAAAAGTTAAAAGCTCTATTTGGGAGTACGACAGACCGATGGCAAATATTTAATGTTATATGACCGACTTTTTGAATTACCAAATTACCTCCAACGATTCCCAGAATATTACATTTTTAGTTTTGTAAAATTTTATAAATATTGATTGTATGCCTACGACGTGTGCTTATGGATTTAACTACACACATGATTCTTGCGTGACGAATTTTATAAATCTTTATTTGTAATATCTCGAGAACTCTTCGAGATATTTCGATAATTCAAAGGGTTGTTCTTATAACATTTTTTAAGACCCATCGAACAGTCATACTCTCGATTTGCGTTTTTAACTCGTTCACTAAAAATGTAACATAGGTTTGTATTGTCATTGATAACATGTGGATCAAAATATTTTATTTACCCGTTCCTATCGATTTTAGAATTTATTGTCTAAGCATATATATTGAAATATAACATACACAAATTATAGCTTTCTAGCTCATTTACAATAATTAAAAAAAAATTGTTGAAAATGCTGTATAAAAACGCATTGCTTTGTTTGATATTTTATAGTGTACTGTAAAGGGATTTATGTAATTATCTTGAATTTTTTCTCGTTTAGTTTAAAAAACAGTTAATTATAGTATATAAATATGCATTGATTTGTTCGATATTTATAGTGCACTGTGTAGGGATTTATGAAATTATCTTGAATTTTTTTTAGATGACCTATCGATTTTAGCATTTACTGTCTTAATAGACGACAAGCTAAAGTACAACATAACCAAATTATAGTATTCTAGTCCGATGGTAACTATTTTAAAAATTTAGTATAAAATATAATGCCTGAATTTTGAAGAAATTCTTGTGAACGAGTTGAAATCTAACAATTACAGTAACATAGTTCGATGGCTAATAAAAAATGCCATATGATCGACTTTTTGAATTACCAAAATATCTCGAACGGTTCTCGAAATATTACATTTTTAGTTTTCTCAAATTCTATATATTTTTTATGCATAATCTCTGCGCGTGTAAGAGCAGTTTACTTTTTTGCGTGTGTTTGTATGCATGTTTGGAAACACTTATGATAATGCAGCAGATAGTAGTAGATAATTGAAATTTGCATGAAATTTTGAAACCGTATTTAATAAATTCGTGCCTTACGTCTCTTAATACTTCCATCACAAATATGGTTAGAAATGCTAGTATGTATTATTAGATTGATTTTTGGTTTAGTTTTATTTTTAGATATTTTTACAATCCATTCTATTTAATAAAATATCAAATTCCCTCGTCTACGATATGACTCTTATGAGAGATATGTCTACGATCAAACGTCTGTTTGTTCAAATGTAAGAAGTTTTACAATGAAAACATAATACGAGTACGATACGAGACATGATAACATTTTCATTTTCCTCATCGTTTTCCTTCTCTTGCAGCATTTTTGCTTTTTTAGTTTTTATTTTCATCTCGTGTTACACATTGCAACTCAGACACATATAAGAAACCCATGATAAAAGTCACATATGATATCTATAATTTTTTTTATGACATACAATTTTAATTTTTTTTTTGTTTCAGATTTACCAGAGGGTCCTCCGGTAATCTACGCTGAAAAAATTAGATATGTGGCGACTGATATGCTGAAGGCAAGTTGCACTTCGCCGCCCACCAGCCCTGCGGCTAATCTAACCTGGTTCATCAATGATAAAAAGGTCAGTCGAACATTTTATTTATTTAAACAATAAAAAGTGTTAGTGTATTTGGAATGACTTTTTGAATTACTAAATTATCTCCATGGGTTTGCAAGATATTTCATTTTCAATGCCTCCTAATTTTGCACATATAAATTTAAAGCTTGCGTGCGTAATTTTAAAAATCTTTATTTGTAATATCTTGAGAACACTTCAAAATATTTTGGTAATTCAAAAAGTCGATCTCGTATAACTTTTTATTTGCCATCGAACTGTGATATTCTCTAATTGCGTTTTTAATTCGTTCACCAAAAATATTACTTAATTTGAAATTCATGATTAAAATTCTATTCGTTAGTGCCATAAATTTATCATTCTGATTAAATTCATCAATAGAATTCGAATGTTTTTTCGAAAGCATTCAAATCGGTTGATCCGTGCGCCCGAAATCGTGGACGAAAAATTGTATCCATACATACATATATACAAACATACACACACACATTCATTTTTTCTGAGGTATGCCAAAATGTTCAAAAACCTTCAAATTGTGAAGAAATGTAAAAATTTTGAATTTCGATCTTTGGACGATTACAATAACTTACCCTACGGGAAGTTAATAAGTTCATTATTCTGAAAGTGTTGATACATATAATCCTATGTAAATTGTTTGTACAAAGTCTATTGTAAATATATAGGTCAACGATAAAATAGTAGTACGCTACCCCGTATGGCAGTGTGCCCTTATTATTATTATCTGCTTATAGACTGATGAAAGTATGTTGAATATTCTCCGCGACGTTACAACTATCCATTTCCCGGCGTTATTAAGGGATTTCCTCCATCCTCCATCCCTCGTAGTAAGGGATGAGAGTGTGTGTCTGCTGGAGGGTGAATATGGGGGGGTGCATGTTACGCATTCTCGATTTATTGAAACTGAAGACGCGTAAGGAATCCCTGAGTGGCTGCCTTCACAGCCCCATATACCGGATAATCCGTGCGCCTCGCGCCAAATCTGAGGTTTTCGACCTACTTTTCTCTTCCTTTTCCTCAGAACGAGATGAGAAATATGAAAATATCGATTGTTGGCGAAAACTACAGACGCATGGATAAAATAAAACTTAATTATAATTAAATCAGTCATGTTCTATTCGAAATTTTCACGTTTTTTATTATGAGTAGAAGATTTGTTAATTCACATTCATAGCATACAAGACTGTTTATTATCAAAATACTGAAATCCGCATTTCAACTAAAAATTAATAGAAATTTTAATAACCAACAGTATATAACAATTTTTTTAGATATTAGTAAATCTTACTACTTTCATACTAATTTTGCTACTTTTTAACTTCCCGAAGGAGAAGTTTATGTTTTCATAAAAAAACCCGATTCGCTAATTATATGTTTTCCGAACGTTTCAAGCCATTATGAATCGAATGAAACGGAATTTGGAAAAAGTATGTGTGTGTGTATGTATCTGTGTGTATGTATGTGTGTGTGCGTGTATATGAACAGATTTTTTGCCGTAAATCAACGTTTTTTCAAAAACGGTTGAACCGAATTCAAAACATTCGGCACTTTGATAATCAGAAATATCTATAATCTGGCAATTTGATAGTTGTTAGGCTAAATACCCATGCTCTCACCCTTTCCATCGGCCTTCGCCGCCCTTGGCCCTTTACCCCTGCCCAGGGAATAAAACCCAAATAAATAGAATGTATTTGTTCCTATATCAAATAGGATGAAAGGCGAAAATAAGGGATTACCGCAGAACTTTATATCGGGACGCCCTTGGGGAAGTGTTTTTTATATATATTTACACTCGTTCGGAAGGGCGGCCCATTAGTCCGAGAGCCGATGGCAAAATCGATAGGTAATTGACGATTAAATTATTATTAATGTATTATATATTAATAATTAAAGATTTATAATTTTTTGATTACATGATTGTGTGAGAATGTTCTAGTTTGAGGATTAGTCAGGGAGCCATTAACCGACAGATAATATAATTCAATTTATTATTGATGTTGAATTATTTATTTAAATTGTTGGTGAATGCTGAAATTGAAAAGTGAATTTATAGTTTGCTAAATATGATAGAAAAATTGAGATAACTTAAAAAATTTATTTTGCGCTCTAAGCAAAATTTATGTTTCAGAGAAGAATATCCGTTTGCTGGTCTGTAGAGTTCTTTTTTCTGATGAAGCTTACAAACAAAGTATCAGTTTGTCCATCAGTAGTTTTTCACAAAATATTAGTTTGCCCGTCAGTAGAATTCCTCTTCATGATGAGCCACCTTGCTCTAAGTCCAAAATGTCAGTTTGCTCGTCAGTAGAGTTCTTTTTTGTTTACAGATTAAATAAAAAATAAAAGTCAGCAGGGTCTTTTTTATGATAAAACAACTTAGAGATTCCCCTAAATATCAGTTTGCTTCTCAATAGAGTTATTTTTTATGATTTCCCTAAATAGCAGTTTGCTAGTCAGTAAAGTTATTTTTAAAATTATACATCTTACATTATAAAAGTCTAAAATATCAGTTATAAGGCTCCTTTTTTTGTTAAAATCGCTGAGAAATGGCCCAAAAATCTTAAAAATCTTAAAATCATACATCTTACATTATAAAAGTCTAAAATATCAGTTATAAGGCTCCTTTTTATGTTAAAATCGCTGAGAAATAGCCCAAAAATCTTAAAAATCTTAAAATCATACATCTTACATTATAAAAGTCTAAATTATCAGTTATAAAGCTCCTTTTTATGTTAAAATCGCTGAGAAATAGCCCAAAAATCTTAAAATTTTTAAAATTGTACATCTTACATTATAGAATGTCTAAAATATCAGTTATAAAGCTGCTTTTTTATGTTAAAATTGCTGAGAAATAGCCCAAAAATCTTAAAATTTTTAAAATTATACATCTTACATTATAAAAGTCTAAAATATCAGTTATAAAGCTTTTTTTTATATTAAAATCGCTGAAAAATAGCCCAAAAATCTTAAAATTTCACATAGCTCGTCAGTAGTGTTTTTTTTACCAACATTCTTTACAATTTTCTGAATTGTGAAATTATTTTAATGTATTTCTTGTAAGTATGTTTATTAGCTCGTCTATAGACTTCTTTTGTGTTAATTTTCTGGTAAAAATATCCATATTCTGATTTTACCCATATTTTTCAAGAAATGTACTAACATAATAAACAATAAATAAACAATCAAAAATATTTCGATGGCCCTCAGCAGTACAGTCCTCATTCGACGATGGCATTATACTTTAAATTTATTTTATTAAGAATTAAGATAATTGTTCTTGCGAATTTTACCCCGGCCGTCGGTCTATCTCCGTGGTATTTTTCGAAATAGTCAATTTTCATCAATAAGGTTTCTCCCGTAGGAAAAGCGTGTATAACGTGTAATACGCCGCTCGATTTAACGCTCGTTTATGCTGTATATATGCTGTATGGCGGGGTATTTGGAAAAGGGAATTTTCCATTTTCCAACCAAGGGTAAAGGGATTGATTTTGATTTTTTTATGAAAATTAACTTATGAAAATGTGGTCTACCGACAAGGAAAACTTTTGAAAGAGGAAACTACTGACTAGCGAATTAGAGAAAACTCTAATAAACTACTGAGTTAGATTTTGACTTGAAAAAAATTGTATAACTAAAGCAATGGTCAGTAGGAATCAGAGACATGGATTCCATATAGCAAATATCATTTTTACTTGTGTGGTATTTTCTCCCGAAAATATTTTATAAACATGTCACGTGTAAAAAATAACAAATCCCGAATCCTTCCATCGATTTCATTGATGAAGGGATTTGCTTTTGAATATGAATATGGTCGTAATGAACGAGAAAGGAACTTCGGTCATAAGTTCAAAGTGAGTCTACTAAGGGTTCACCTTTTTTTAAGGGAAAAAACCACTCTTGAAGAGTTTTTCTTAAAGTTATTTCCCGAGGATGTAAATATTTTTAAAGGTTAGGTGTATGTAAGTGATTCTGCGGTCTGACGAAAAAGTTTTGACATCGGATAAAATTTATTTTCATATAGGGTAAGGGTGCACGATTTTATAGTAGTTTATTCCAAATAGTATTAGACTATTGAAATAATTTCTTTTTATTAAATTCAAGTATTCTGTATCAAGTATCTATATTTAATTTTCACATATTAAATCTATATTTAATCGCTTTTTTGCAATTTTTCAAATAATTTGTAAACTTCTATCATGACACTCTACTCTTGTTTTAAACTTTTGGTTTAAAAATAATTTTTTTTTATTTAGTTTAGAAGAAACTAAATTAAATTTGCTACGATTTCATGTGAACAATCAATCTTATGCACCCTTATATATTTTTTCTGCGTAAAATTGATCTAAATTTGCTATTATATATGGTGTAATTGAAAATACATATATGGAACCGAGATATTTTTTAAAATATTTTTATAACTTCGTTCCAGACACTCTCTATTAGTTAGCTTAGCAAAAACTAGATAAAATTTACAACAATTTTGTATAAACTTTCTTAAAAGCCCTGATACTAAATTTTTTAATAAATCTAGTTTGAACTTGTCAATATGAAATCTACAAGTTTGCAGTATTATAGTCGTGACACTTTTTTATAATTCTGCAAATTACTTAAAAACTTTGTTCTGTACACTATTTTTATGTAGCTTAGCAGAAACTACATGAAATTTACTACTATTCCATATAAACAGTCTTGTGCGCTTTCATATAATATTTTTGAGTAAAATTGATCTAAAATCGCTGTTATATATCGCGTAGTTGGAATTATATGTAATAGAGGTTTTTATTCTTTTTTTTTCACATATCTCGAAAACTTCGTCATAGACACTATTTTTTAGTTAGCTTAGCAGAAACTAGATAAAATTTACTAAAATTATATATAAAAAAGCTGATAACCTCCGATACGAATATTTTGAATAAACTCATAATGCAATGTTACGTAATATTAGGGACATTTTTTTACATTTTTTCGAATAACTTGGGAACTTCTATGCAAGTCAACTTAGAAGAATTTTCCAATAGTCCCTTATTCATCTAAATTTTCCTTTCCCCCGTAAACTTTTCAATTCGCCAGCCGACGATAATAATAACGAGGTCATAATAAATTTTCCATTTTGGCGCTTTCAATTTTCAACAGTCATTTTTGAATTTACGATCTCCCGAGCGAGATAAAGTTGTGTCCGAAAAACAGGAGCCTGTAAATTCTTGTAAAGGGTTGAAGAAAGAAGTTTTATGAGAGTTTTGTCTCGAAAGGGTTAAAAGTGTTCTTTGAAAGCTAATCAGATCAGATCAGATCTTTTCGACTTATTAAGATTTCATTATCACGCCGAAACAACTTTGTTCTAAAGGACGAACGAAAGGCGAAGGCGCCTCCTTAGTTATTTAGTTGGATGGACGAACAACAAAAGGCGATAAACGAATCTGATTAATAAGTTTCAGCAGGCGAATTAAGATTTAAGATTGGGAAATATTTAAAATTAAACGGATAATGTGATAGAACTAGGCGTGAGTAAGGCGTTTTTACCTTGAAGCACAAGTTGCATGAAAATCGACGTTCAAAATAGATTTATTACAAATTTTAGTTGCAGAACTTATAAAAGACTGCTTACACATAATATCAGTGAATTTCATCTAAGTTCTGCTAAGCTAACTAGAAAAGAGTGTACAATACAAACTTATCTAGTTATCTAAAAAATTGTAAAAATTGTCCCGTTTATTATAGTATAGACAAGTAGAATGGACAGGGGCGAAACTGAATTATTAAAAATTTTACTATCAGAGCTTATAAGACGGTTTATACAAAATTATTGTAAATTTTATGTTGTTTCTGCTAAGTTAACTAAAAAAGATTGCTTCGAAAGAAGTTTTCAAGTTATTTAAAAAAATGTCGAAATTGACAGGATTATTATGTAGCAGATTTGACCAATACATAAAATCAAACTTCAACTATTTATTTTATCAATTTTTTTGCATAGAACTATATTAAGCTGTTTACTTGAAAAAAGAGTAAATAGAGTAAAAAACAGTGTTGTGAAAAATGTTTTCAAGTTATTTGAAGAATTGTAGAAAAAATGTCCTTAGTATAACATTGAAAATTTGCATATAACATATAGGCGATTTCAAACTCATTTTATGCAAAGTTATAGTCTTAGGGCTTATAAGATAGTTAATACCAAATTAGATTTAATTTTATTTAGTTTCTGCTAAGTTGACTTAAAAAGAGTGCTATGATAGAACTTTTTCACGCTATTTGAAGAATTGTAAAAAAGTATCTCGAATATTGTACTATGAACTTTTACAATGCATATTGACGAGTTCCAGCTAGATTTAGTAAAAAAATTAGTATCATAGCTTGTGAGACTGGTCATGCAGAATTATTGTAAATTTTATCTTATTTGTGCTGAGCTAACTGAAAAAAGTGCTTTGGAATAAGTTTTCATGCTCTTGAATAATTATCAAAATATTTCCCAAAAATTACAATGACATTTTGCAGCATTTATTAAAATAACTTGGAAACTTTTTTAGTTAGCTAGAACTAGATTAATTAATATTTATCTAATAATAATTAACCAAATTTTTGTATAAGAAATCTCTTAAACACCAATATCAAAATTTTTGAATAATTTCACAAGCAATGCATTTTTCAAATTTGCTACATAATACAATACAGGACAGTTTTTACAATTATTTAAATAATATAAAAACTTTATTCGGTATAATTTTTGATAGCTAGCTTAGAAGAAGGTAGATAAAATTTCAAACAATTTTGTATAAACTGCCTTATACACTCTTATACAAAAAAAATTCAATACAGTTTGTCTAAATTATGTATTGCGTAATTTGAAACATATGGATTGAAGTCAATTTTTCACAATAACTTAAAAATTCTGTGTGGTACGTTCTATTTTAGTTCATTAGTTCAAGCAGAAATTAGATAAAATTTACTAAATTTCTGTATAGGAAATCTAATATGCTCCAAAACGAAAATTTTAAATAAAACTAATTTAGTCTCGTATATTACGTAGATTCACCATTGAATATTCAGTATATTTTTCTGAATTTTATTAAATAACTTGACAAATTTGTTTAGGGAATTATTTTCCACTAAGCTTTTTAGAAATTAGATAAAATTTAATATAAATTCCCATCAACCACTTTATATCCTGTAATACATTTTTTTTGAATAAAACTAATTTGAACTGGCAATTTGCATCACCCACAAGTGTGTGCTCAGTAAATTGAACAATTGTCCTTTACCAATTGCCTTGTTCTTACTATAAATATTACGGGCGGCTAAGTCCTTAAATCCTCCTCTATATTTCCATTATCCTTGCAAAAAAATAAATAAAAGCGAGAGAATGATCGCGACTAACGACCTCTCCTAAATGTTTAGGAGATGTACTTAATTCCTGACGTTTGCTGAATACAAAAATCTCAAAAAGGAGAGAAAACGGCGTTCTTTTTAGACCAAAATCTAGAATTGCCTCCAGAGCGGTCATTATAGATCAGAGATTATTGCTAATTCATGCACGAATTAGGACCTTTTATTGTGATAATATATTTTTATGGCAGACAAACCCGAGGAAAGAAAATCGTGCACCCTGAAGGGTTTTCGTAAAAATCGGATAAGTAAGGTGGCGAGCGACATTTTGCTTCAAAAACATGTTTAAATAATCGAATTTTTATTCAATAAATTAATTGGTGTGTGATTTGTACTTGTACTGTATGGAGCCTTTGCATATTATTCAATTTTATACTTTGCCAAACATACTAGCTATTTTACACAAATTATTTAAATGATATACAATATTGAACAAAAAACAAACACGCGTCAAATACATGAACAATGTATATCGTATTATTGTTAAGTGGGAAATGTAAATTTCAGTAAAATCGTATTAAATTATTTTTAATCATAGTAGAATGTTGTATTTTACGTATGTTATACTTTGATATGTCTACTATGGTGACAAATACTGAAATTGATAGTTGTTCTTAGAAATATTCAAGATATTAAAAATAATATAAAAAAGTACCCGACAAATACGAAATTGATTAATTAAGAGAATCAATTTTACAAAATAATTTTAAATCATTTATAAGTACATTGGATACTTGTAATTTAGTTATGTTATACTTTAATATGCCTAGTATAATGGTAAATACCAAATTTGATAAGTTCTCTCAGAAATATTCGAGATATTTGGAATATCATGAAAAAGTACACAGAAGGTCACATACAAAATTCGTTTATTGAGAAAATAAAGTTTACAAAAATGTTTTAAAATATTTATAGGTATACTAGATACTTGTGATTTTCTTATGTTATACTTTAATATGTCTAGTATAACGACGAATACTAAAATTTACAAGTTTTCTTGACAATATTCAAGATATTTGAAATAATATAAGAACAGAGTTCTATTTGAAGCCGGCATTAACGATTTTCTTATCTAAATGTGAGTTTTGAAAAATGTTTTATTTTATGTTCAATTACACTAGAAAGTTGTAATTTAAGTATGTTAAACTTCAATATGTCTACTATAATGACAAATACTGTTATTGATGAGTTTTATCAGAAATATTTGAGATATTTGAAATATTATAAAAAAAGTACCGGAAGGTCACATATAAAATTGATTGATTGAGAGAATAAATTTTACAAAAATGTTTTAAATTATTTTTAATTCTAGGAGAGTATTTTTTTTAAGTTATGTTAGACTTTAATATATTTATTATGAGGACAAATACTAAAATTGACAGGTTTTCTTGGAAATATTCGAGATATTTGAAACATTATGAAAAAGCAACCGGAATGTCACATACAAAACTCATTTATTGAGAAAATAAAGTTTACAAAAATGTTTTAAATTATTTATAGGTATACTAGATACTTGTAATTTTTTTATGTTATACTTTAATATGTCTGGTATAACGACAAATACTAAAATTGATAGATATTCTTGGAACTATTTGCGATATTTAAAATAATTGAAGAAAAAACCTTATTTGAAGCCGCTATTATTGATTGTCCATGTCTTTCTTATCTAGAGGTGAACTTTGAAAAATGTTTTAATTTACTTTCAATTACGCTAGAAAATTGTAATTTAAGTATGTTGAACTTCAATATGTCTATTATGATGACAAATACTAAAATTGATTAGTTTTCTTGGAAATATTTGAAATATTTGAAGTAATATGAAAAAAGTAACCTGTATCGATTTTCTTATCAACATCTTCTTTTCGAATCATTATTTTCCGATCAAAAAATAATCAACATGTCCAACTCAATCAGCTTTCAATTTTCTATTTCAATGTTCAATTTTTTCTTTTTTTCCAGGTGAACCAGATCATGTACCGGAACCACAGGCCGTTCACAAGTTCCATCCTGAACGATTCCGGATCTGATCATTTGACGAACTTATACGTCCACCAGTTTCTCGATTCTCCGGAACATTTGAACACGATAAACATAGTGCACGGGCTGAACAGCCCGGAAAAAGATCCGGGAGAGCCGAGATACGAGCAGACCAAGACAGGTGAGATAAATGTTATATGACGAATATACTCGTCATGGAGAAGTGTCAGAGTAATGTGCATTGACGAGTATATTCCTCGTGATCATTTGCAATTTAAATTGAAACTAGTAGGGTGTATGGCATCGTGCCTTAAGGCAAATTGCTGGAACTTTCCGTACCGTAACGAAATGTTCGAGGAATACTGAATGTTTTCAAATAGATCATTATAAATATTGTAATATTGTCTAATATTTATAAGAATTATATAAACTGAATTCCAAAGTTGGAATTATTTGTTTAAAGTATATTAGAACTTTAGTCAGAATAAAAATAAAATCTTAATTATTTTCGATATACAAAAAAAAATATATATACAATTTTTTTTTGTAAATCAATTATTTTGTTAAGACAAGCAGAAAGTTCTTTGAATCATTTAAATCGGACGCTTAGTTCTCTCAAAAACTGCCATTTTTTACATATTTAGCTCCGTATCTTCGAAATGGCTGGGCCTGCCTTTGCCAAAAACTAATAAACACTTCTCCCAATCATTACTAATTGAATGTTTCTTAGATCATTCAAATCGGATACTCCGATCTCTCAAAAAGTCAATTTCTATTTTCTGCATTCTTTGCTCCGTATCTCCGAAACGGCTGAACCTACCTTTGCCAAAAACTAATCAGCTTTTTCCTATCAATAGGAATCGAATGTTTTTTGAACCATTCAAATCGGTTGATCCGTGCGCCCGAAAACGTGGACGAAAAATTGTATCCATACACACACTCACACACACACATCAATTTTTTCTGAAGTATGCTAAAACTTTCAGAAACCTTCAAAACGTCGAGAAATGTAAAAATTTTCAATTTCGATTTTCGGTCCATTACAATAACTTACCCTACGGGAAGTTAATTAAAAAAAAAAAACAAGTTGTTTAGAATGTTTTGTAAGAGTACTAATTACGAACTTTAATGCATTTTATAATTAAACTACTTTTTGCTTCCCCCATTTTTTTATTTGGATATCTATTTTTTTTAAATAAAAATACCCAAAAAGACATTAATTATTTATATTCTCTTATTGCATATAATTTTGTTATCTTTTCACTTTTACAACGTTATTTACAAAATAATAATAAGATCATTTCAAACAGATTTCGCCGAAGATTTATTTGCTCTTTTGTTCTACAGAATAATTTACCAAGTAATAAAAATTGTCTCCGACTTTTGTTCATGAATTTATTTTAAACTTGAACAGTTTTTTTCTGTAATTGTATAAAGATAATAATAAAAAAGTTTTCTAAGTAGATAGTAATTGAAAATTGAAACTGTTATTATTGAAAATAATTACGTGTTTTAAAATAAATGTGCGAAGTTTATATAGAAATTTATAGAGTGTGTTTATAAAGAAATTGCAATATGTTATTTTTTATCTTTCTGCAATAAAATAAGAGAGCTTGTCCAAAACAATTACATTAGATAAGTTAATGCAAAATATTTTTTCGAGATATTTTTATATTTATAAAATTTTCAATGGAAGAAACTTTATTTTAGTGTACGTCAAGCAACTAGTTAGATAACATGCATTAATGTCGCGATTTCAATGTGGTTTTGACAGAAATTTTGTGAGAGGGCTTATAAGACTATTTATACAGAACGGATATACATCATACGTGATGTATGAAAATTTTGTATAAAGTCACAATGCAATGTTACAAGTATCAATACATTTTAAAATTCGTTACTTGTGATATTTTGGACATTTTTTTCTTAATTTCGGGCACTCTTAACTAGGCTTAGCATAAATGATATAGAATTTATTACAAGTCTGCATTAACAATTTTATAGGTTCCTCTACAAAAAATTTCAATGATAATAAAACTAGCTTGAAGTCTTCATTGTGAAAAATCTGTTGCAAGAAGTCTTCGATATTCCATATCGTTGAGAGAATCCATTAATAAATCGGGCCCAGAAAGGCGAAATCACTAAAGGCGAACATAATTTATTAACATTGTTTTGTAACTTTCATCTGCTCAAAATGTTTTTGTTCTGTTTTCAAATATCGAGAAAACACGTAATAAATTTCTCAACAGTCGTATTAAATCTCGTTCTCGATATCGTTCGATATTGCAAATATTTTGCACAAAATAGATTTATTATCCAATACAATACAAGAAGGGAAGTCGATAGATTGCGAGTGGTGTGTTTTATACGATTATAAGCTTTTTGCTTGTCAGATCAGTCTTTTGTGAAAACTATATTATTTCTCTTTTATTATCGGTATTTGACGTTTCAAAGGAGGAAAATTCATATTAAAATAAAAACAAGATTTTGAAAATGCTTACAAAACTTGTTTTGATTTCAAATGTAATAAAAGTCGATACAAATCATATCCTAGGCTTAGCAGAATTCAAAATTACTTTCAATGCATTTTGCAAATTTGTTAATACACGCGATGATTTTTTTTGAATTTATTTGAATAGTTCAAAACTTTGCTCTTGGCAATTCGATCAACTTAGTTCAGAAAATTATAGACAAAATTTAATAAAATTTGACATAAACAATTTTCTCCGATACAAAAAAATTGGAATAAACGAATTTGAAATACCTCATATATTATGCAAATTTACAATATGGAGACATTTTGTTACACTTCTTCAAATTACTTGGAAAATTCGTTCTACGTACTCTTTTTAGTTAGCTTAGCAAAAACTATATTAGATTTTCAAACAATTGACATAAACAAGCTTTTAAATTTCCACACAAAATTTTTGTATAAACCGTGTTTGAAGTTGCCTAAATATTACATGTAAATTTACTATACAGGGATGTTTTTTAACATTTTTTTAAATAACTTGAAAAATTGTTCCGGGTAACTCTGATACTATAATTTTTAGTAAACTTATTTACAATTCTTCAAATAACAAGAAAATTTGTTCTAAAGAACTATTTTCTAATTAGCTCAGCAGAAACTAGGTAAAATTTATCACGATTTCATATGAACTGATTTATGTACACTTATACAAAAAATTTAAATTAAATTAAAAATTTAGCTAATTTGAACTCACTCTAACGTTTTGTGAAAATAGAATGAATTCGGGACAATTTTTGACGTTTGTGTAAATATCTTAAAAACTTTTCTCTGGACACTCTTCAATAAAATTTAGAACAATTTTATATATATGAGCCAAAACTAGATAAAATTTACAATTTACATATATTTTTTGTACCCCATACAAAATTGTAATTAATACCAAAAGCTCGCCCTAATGTACTGTGAAAATTATATGGATTCGGAACATTTTTTTATATTTTTTCAAATAATATGAAAACTTTTCTGAAAGCATTCTTTTCTTTTTAGCTTGGTAGAAACTGGAAAAAAATTACTACTTTTTCGTATAAATTGTTTTATACGCCATCATATAAAAATTTAAATTAAAACTCATTTGAATTTACATTTGTGAAAATTGTATGGTATTCGGGACTTTTTTTGTAATTTTTCAAATGACTAAAAAAAAGTTCTCACTCTTTTCTAGTTACCTTAGCAGAAACTACAAAAAAATTATTACATTTGCGTATAGACTATTTTATACACTCCCATGCAATTTTTATAATTAAAGCTAGTTAGAACTCGCCGTAATGCACTGTGAAAATTCTATGGACTCGGAATATTTTCTTACATTTGTATAAATAAATTAAATATTTTATTCAGGACACTCTTTTTTGATTAATTTAGCAGAAACTAGATAAAATTTATAACTGTCCCATAAAAACTGTCTTATACACTCCCTTATAAAATTTTTGAATAAACCTCATCACAACTTCAACATGTCTACAAAAACACTGTATTAACCCGCATCATGGCATCGGACAGCAGCGATATCTATTACTATAACTTCCACTATTCAACAAGTTGCCTGTCAATAATATTGCGTTTATCGTACGTGTATCGACTACCACTAGTTAGTTTGTTTGTTGGGCGGATATTTGCATTATTCACACCGCAATTAACAATTTCAGTTATTTGCATCATTTCGATCACTATCAACTGTTAACAATCGGCCCATTCAATTGTTGTTGAATTGTTGAATTGTTGTTTTGTCGCAAATCCGAAATGCAAACATCGACGGCGGCGCGGTTTTACATTTGACGCGTTAGTAATCATTAAATGATGAAAACGCGAAATGGAGAGCATGGAAAATACTAACACAACTGGAATTGATGATTTAGTAAGGGAGCAAGATGAAAACAGGGCTGATTTTGATAATTATACAAATTTCGATTATACAGTGTAATAGAAAAAAGAGAAACACGCAAGATTTATCAAGTGTGAAACGCGATATTAAACATAAACATGACGAAACTACAGACTGCACAAAACAAAACACCCTACTGGACAAACGAATTGAGAGAATTCAATCTAATAGAAAATTATTAATCTCGAATATAGAAATGAATTGCAAAATGTGTTGGTAAACGCATAACTAGATAACGCCTAGACCAATTTGGCAAATTATTTTTTTTAAATGTTATAATTGCCGGAAAAACCCTAAAAACAGCCCTTATCTTTTTCTCATATTCAATCGTTTTCTAACTAAAACGTAGAATCAATTTTAGCTTTATTGCCATTATATAGAGTTTATATTAAATTACAAGCACTGCATACTCCTCCTAAACGATTATTCGGATTTTGATAAATCTTTCTGAAGTTCGTTAAGGAAATTTTCTAGGATGTATGTGATTATAAAGTACTGGGATGTATGTGCAATATTGTAGAAATAAATGAAAAAAATTGCAAAAAACGACATGTCATTGTTTGCATTGAAAATAAATGAAAACTATCATCTGCCAAAAATTTCAATTTACTCATGAACCCAGACAACATTAGAATATGTATAATAAATTTATGATTATGAATAAGAAAAATGAAATGTCTACAATATTATTGCCGAAAAGCAGCTGAGATGTGCCAGAAATTAAAATAATATAAAATACAGTATATGTATGACAGATCGAATTATACATATATAAACAAATATGACAAATTAATTCACTTAAAATATGAAATTAAGTAAGCTTTAATCAGAGCCGGTCATACTTTTGATACGATGCATGCGAAAAATACGAGCGCACGCCTTAAAGGGCGCCTACATACGATTCGGGTATTAAATTTTCAATATAGCTTTATTTTTCAATATATAATTTCTTTGTATCTTTTACTAATCTTTTCACAATATTTTTAAAATTCGTACAAATTTCGCTTTATAACAACAAATGGAATGTAAATATGAATACATACAATTCGGCCCTCACGATAACGATTAAGAGAAATTTAAGATGCAATTTTGGATATCTTAAATAATAAAAAATTAAATTAATTTAATCCAATATGAAGTACCAGTGATATATTATGGTTATGGTTATGTTATACCGTTTGAAAGACTTCAATTTCCAATATAGTGTAGAAATCATCATTTTATAAAGCAGTTCTACATTTAGCATCGCTCTTATTATAAATGTATATGCATTTTGGCATGAAGGGTAATTAAAAAAAACAATAATTATTATTTTTAGGTAAACGGTAAATATTAGTATAGGATATTGAAAAAATGTAGATGTGGGTACAGGACAAAGTCGGGTCATCAAGTTAAATATAAAGTTAGTTTTCTATAACTTTATTATTATTCAACAGCCCTTTAGCGCCCTGTCTATCCACTATGCTGTAACTACCCTTTGGGATGGATAGGAGGGTTTTGTTGGGGGTGTTTTGTGAATTTATAAAATTGTTAACACATATTATTAGTTCGTCACGGCATGACGGACGGAAAATTGTGATTTTTCGCTGAAAACGGCAATGAAAAATAAATGAACGTAATTAATTATGAACGCGAATCAACTGATACGTGATTTATGCACTGAATATTTTACTAATGCTAAATGTATTAAATAATTTATTTTATTAGAATAAAATTATGCTAATAAATATTATGAATCAGGCTTTGTGAAAAGTGCGTCTTCGCTCATGCCTTTATTTTTTAAAAAATACGTTTAAAATTGATGGAAATTTTGAGTGAAGCTAGTTAGCATATTTTATCTAGTTTCTGCTAAGCTAAATGAAAAAGTGTATTTGAAGTACTTAAATAATTTAAAGAAACATATCAAAATTAATTGCTATTATTGATTATATAGGCCGGCGGTGGCGTTATCGGTTAGAGCGTGGGCTAGCAGCAACTAGTTCCAGGTTCGCTGGATCGATTCCCGTTACCGCCGTAGCCCGACATCAGGCAGCTTTGATGTCAAATTTCCACTTGGGATTATAGATCACAATATAATTCCAAGTGGAAATCGTCCTTCGTGGACATAGCTGCAACATCCAATCATACGCAACTATTAGACGTAAGAGCTAATATTAAAAATATCCCACACATAAGGGAATGGTTAATCGATGGATTGCCTCTCATAAATAAGTAGTATTAAATCGTGAACCAACAGCTTATAGAACATACAGGAGTTCTGATTGCTGTTCAAACAATAAAAAAAAAAAAAAAAAATATTGATTATACAATATTTTGACTTAAATTTGATATTTATACTATTACTATAGATAGACATAATTAAAATATAAGATTCAAATTTATAGTTACAATTGTTAAGGGGCACAACTAGTGAAACCGCCTAAAAAAGGTGATTTTTGGGAATTTATATTAAAAAAAAATAACTACTTTATCAAACATTTCAAAATTTTAGGAATATATTTATACATGTTTTAAGAATACATAGTAAAATTGTTGAAGAAAAAAATTTAATATTTTTTAAGTTATCGTTGATCTACAACAGCGTGACAAAAAAAATGCCCTTCACTGCTGCAGGGATTCCGGCCTTCTACGTGGATGAAATTAAAAAAAAATCTTGTTATACTAGATAATATTGTCTGTAAAATAAACTACGACAAAGAAAAAAATCGAAAATTGACAAAATGACGGCGTTTTTTTAAAAAAAAAGTCAAATTTTACCCAAAATTTTGGTCGTTTTTGGACTACCAAAATTCGATTTTTGATCCGATCAAAAAATCGATAGTTCATTTTACGGAGAACTATATATAGAATATGTAAAAAAAAATTGATAGTGATCGGATCATTTGTTTTTGAGTAATCGCTGCAGCAAATTCGAAAAATGCTGTTTCGAGAAAAACGCGTTCAAAGATTAAATGATCGTTATACTATATACTATATAAATACTCTTTAAATGGCTGTGACTCAAAAACTATTTAAGATATCGATTTAAAATTTTGGTATGTTATTTTTAAAGGTGTAACCTATCGAAATATGGAAAAATTGAAAATTCGATTTTTTGAAAATTTCACACTAATTGTGCCCCTTAAGGAATATATTCGGGACAAACATCGTGACTCATTTTCTGTATAGTCGCCCTTATATCTGCTTGATTATTATTGTTTTTATTTCAAAACCATCCATAAACCTGTTCGGACTAACACAAAAAGTTCCATCAAAATTGCAATACCCGTTTAGGAGTAGTTCAATGACATACAAACGTTTTCTAATTGTAAATCCAATTATCTACTTCTATTTTTTTTTATCTTTCAGCTCCTCGTAGATCTCGAAGATTTCTGACACCGCCGCCGCCTCAACAGCAGCAGAATCCTCCGACAAGTCCCTACACGACCATAGTACCTATAATTTCGTCTCGAACTTCAAACGTTCCGGAAAAGAAAGAGACTACCATCTTTCTGGAACTGCCGCTGGAGTCGAAATTATTCGAAGATGGCAAATTGAGGCTGAGGTGCGTCGCCGAGCTGTTTCAGCTTTATAGGGCGCACGCCGAAACTGTCGTGGACGAAGGGCCGAGGTTGGCGCCCATTTTGGCGACCAGGGAATCAGGAAGCGGTGAGTAGAAAAAAAAGGAAATTCAATAATAAAAATTAGAGATTGTGAAAAATAGAGATAGAGAAAGGGTGAGAGACACAGATAGTTGAGCATCGTTGTATATATCTTGTTCTATTTTTCTTTGGCATGTGGCTTTTTACCATTAGATTTTTGTCTTCTAAAATGTGAAAGGTGAACTGATGGAATTTCTTTCAGAAAAGTTCATAGTTTCTTTTACTCTAGTCTATGGCTCTCTCCTTGTACCACTAAATTGTTGTCTCTCTCGTGTAGCGCAATTTATACTTATAAGATACTAGTTCTGGAAAATTTATTTATATTTCGAACGTCGTATAGAATCCATTAAGAAGTTTTTCTTCAAAAATTTAATTTGGGCGGGTATTTATTGTAATAATTTAGTCGTTTTTTGATGTTAGACATACACATAATAGATATGATAAATTTTAATAATTTGAATGATGTACAGTTCTGTCTCTTTTACTCCCACTTTTACTCTGTCATTTTTTATCTCTCTCGCATAACAAAACTCACTTAACCGTGATCAGTAGTTAAATTTTACTCACACCTAAGAAGTTTCTCTTCAAAAAAAAAGCCAGACTAGCTGTAAGTGGAATTCTGTCTTAAGGCAATTAAGGCATCGTGCCTTAAGGCAAATTGCTGGAACTTCCCGTACCGCAATTCAAAATTCGAGTAATTAAAAATAATCAATAATAATAATCAGTTAAAGTTGATCAATGATTTGAAACTTTTAATAGAATTTCGAACCATATTAAATCATTCTATCTCAAATCATTTATTTTGAAATATTTTGGAAATTCTGAACTTTTTTTCAAAGCAATCGTACTGATTTAACTGCATAAAGACGAAATATCGAAGCGCGTAAGCGCCGCGTCGCCGTGTAACAAATAAACATATTGGTACGGAACCCATAGGAATGTAAACAAAATTTATACTTATTGTTAAAATCTCTATAAAATATCTAATTATTTGATGCGCATATGTCTAATGTTTATTTTTGACTGCCAAATGGCTCATTTTTTTACTCTTTCTTCCGTATCTCCGAAGTCGTTGCACCTGCCTTTCCAACAGTTCTTCACTCAGTTAATACAAATAAAATGTTTTTTGAATTATTCAAATCGGACGATCCGTTCTTTTAAAAACTGAGTTACCGTTTTTGGCCTTCGCCAAAAACTAATCAGCACGTCTCCTTATCAATACGAATCAAATGTTTTTTGAATTGTTCAAATCGCTTCATCCGTGTTCCCGAAATCGTCGACGAAAATTTGTATCCGCACACACACATACACGCACATGCACACACACATACATCCATTTTTTCTAAAGTATGCCAAAATGTTCAGAAGGTTTTAAAACGTGAAGATATATAAAAATTTTCATTTTCGATTTTTTTTGCGATTACTATAACTTGCCCTACGAAAAGTTAATAAAAATGAATATAATCAAGTCAAAATACCACAAATGATGATAACGGCAAAAAAATATTCATAACATGAGAGAAATCTATATAATTTAGATACAAATATTTTACTTTTCCACTCTGCAGAAAATTTAAAAATGTGGTTAAATACTAGAGTGCGAAGTAAAAAACTAAATAAGCGTTACCGTTTATAGTTTATAGAATCACCGCCTAAGAAGTTTTACTTCTAATTGCGACGGTCAAATTGATTATTATGAAAATATAAAGAAAAATCCTTTCTAATGATTTTCTAAAGAAAAATCTCTCCGATTCCTATTCTGATGGTATGGTGGTACAGACGCGGTCGGTCGGTCGGTATTACTCGTGCCTGTCTGCCGGTATAACTTTACAACGCTTTTGAGGTTATGTAAAGCACTTGAATCGTTGTCGGCTTGTATGGGGGGGACGGGCGGGTGCCCCAACACGTTGGGGTTGGGGTTGGGGTTGGGGCTCTGCTCGACTGGGGAAAATGTTGAACGCTGTTGGAACTGACAGAACCAACCATATAATCTCCATTGTACCGACTCGCTAACGCGCCGAACAAATTATAAATTTGCATTTTACGCGAAATATACGTACCTAACGCTCCATTATATATATGCGGATTGTTCGCGCTAGTTGTACAAGTGCCTACCGACATAAAACGACACGATTATCGAATGAATTGGCCGGAAACACGCCGAAGTGAAACTTCTTAGGCGACGATAGTAATCGATAGTGAGTAAATAAAAAATACAAAGACAACTTAACATAAATTTCATAACAAAAAATAGGAAGATGTATAAAAACCTATAAAGAGCGACATAAATAGATGATGTGTATGACTAGTTGAGATAGACGCATGTCATCAAAGTTTATTATTTTTTATTTGTTTTTATTATGTCATTAAGTAAATCTTGCGCCACCTGTGATAGTAAATATAGATAGCAATATGTTTCCAAGTGAAAATAGCCCTTGCCCGGAATTGCTGCACCAATAAAAAGTCAGCCCTATTAGATTATTTCTAATAACAAGAATCATCAAATATGGATGGATTAACCATTGGGTTATCATTTAAAAATACGATGTAAGGAGAAGTTTCAGCCCAACAGCTCATAGAAGGTTCTGATTGCTGTTAAAAATATAATAAAAAAAAACCTGTGGTAGTATTTGTGAACTCAAATATTACGCCATTTAAAAATATTTTTAAATCACTTAAGCTCTAATTAAATCTATGTGGACTGTTTAACGATATATTTATTCGTCATGGGATCAAAATTAATTTTGCACCAAAATATTTATTTAATTAGTGATGTTGACTCTCAAATTATCAGTAATAAATAGCCATAAAAATTACAAGTGCTGAAAGTCTGCTATCACAGATGGCGCAAGAACTTATTAAATGATGTACGGTAAAAAATATATGAAACTTTTAATTAAATTGCGGACTATCTAAATGTTAATATTAATAGCTAATTTTTTTAGAGTTCTTTTTTCATTAATTCGGAAGCATTTGAATTTTTGGGAGCAAAGAAATTTGAAAATCTTCACATTAAAGACCACCCTAATATATATATATATATATATATATATATATATATATATATATTTATACATATATATATTATATCCTAGGATTAAATCCATAAAATGACTGAATTGTCGAATAAATTGCACAAAACCATATATAATTGCTTTCAACCATTTTGATGTGAAACTTCTCAGGCGGCCGTTTTATAATTGACTAGGTGTAAGTGGCATTTTGCCTTAAGACAACTTGTGTAACCACAGTATACAAAACTAATCCAATTGTGTCACAATGTTTGTACCGAATGCATTCTTAAATTAATTAAACAATTTTAAATTTTATTTATCCGCTGCGTGCATTTATAACCAACTTGAGTAATAAAACCTTTAATGTACAAATAAGAACTGCTTAAATTACAAAGTTGACTAAAACATTGTCAATTTGGATTGTTTCCAAACATTTTGACACAATCCTATTTCATCTTCAGTGGTAAATAGATTAAATTTGGAGTATGTACGCAGGAATCTGTTTCTATGTATATATAGGTATATGTATGTACGTATATATGTATGTATGTTTGAGTGTACATTCTCTCAGATTTGAATCCGCAGAACGTACGTAGTACTCTCTTATTCTGTTACTCGTTCGTAACTACTTAGAGGGATTCCGAGGAGAGGCAACTTGATAGTAATTACACTCATCAGACAAGGGATTTCGGTGCCCTTTTGGGGTCGCACACAATGTAATAACACTCGTAAAAACACACATTTGACATTGACATAGAAAAACACGGCTGAAGGAGCCAAACATACTCATATGATACACCCATATATGCATTTTACAAACAGAAAAATAAGAACAAAAATATTACTCTTTTATCTATCTATCCCAGTATCCTCTACCTTTGAGCACCTTTGATCCCATCCAGCGTTTCCTCCAGAAAAATAATTCTACTTCCGTTTTCTTTCAGGTTAATTAATTATTAATGCTCGAATAACAAGTTTTCCAAGACAAAAAAGCAAACGCACTTCATTAACAGAAGTGGAGCAGGAACTAAGGGCTAAGGGTTGGGGGTCGGGGCTACTAGGGCATACAATTTTAATTTATGCGAAAGGTCGCTGATTGCGAAAACTGGATGAAAAATAAATAATTAACCGCAGTTAATTGAATTCGTACACGTGAAACAAATTTTTACACGAGGAAAACAATCTGGAAAAATAAAGGAGAAAAAATCAGGGTAATAAGATCCACCAGAATTATATAAAATAAAAAACAAGTAAAGTATGGTGTTTCTTTGCAATACTAATTTAAAGTAGAGGGTAAAAAGGGTGTAACTAGCCAAAGCCTTAAATAGGGCCACGTTGATATCAGCAGATAAACAACTAGATTGTCAATTTTGACGAATGTATTGTTAACGTTGTTAGTTTTGTTGTTTTTGACCATTGTTGTTGAGTTTGCAATACCTGAATATAATTTTTAAGTATGCATTATATAATTGTTTCATAAAATGCATTATTATTATTTTTAGATTAGATTCAACCATTTTTCCAGTATAATTCATAAAACTCGAGTGAGACCTTTATTCCTTTATCTCTTTTTCCAACTTTAACTAACTTCACTAAATTTTTATGTACATGAAGAAGTTATGCTCTTTGAGCTTCGCCATATGAGTTTTGTATAAAGTAATAACCGTTCTTGTGAAAAACGAACTAATTTCCATAAAAAGGAAAATCGGGTTGTCATCGTACACCACCATCATCTCGTTAAAGTGGAAAAGTGGAAAAGTGGAAAAGCTCAGCCCAGAGGACCATAACGATAATAACATGCGCACTGAAATATAACACCCACTTATAATAGAAATAGAATGTGTATACTGTATATGTATTTAAATATACTAACTGACCCGGCAAACGTTGTTTTGCTAAGTAAGGTATATTCTAAACAATTTCTGGAGAATCAAAAATATTAGTACTTCAAGCGTTTAAGAATTTTTGAAAATTTTTCCATGCTATCTCCATACGAAACTT